CGCTGTAAATAGGAATTCCACTACGTCGCTATTCCACATTACGTACGCTAAAATTCTTCAAAGCAATAATACCTAGCAACCCGCAGGATCTCGACAGCAGCCCTTGAGCGACAGCCGCCACCCTGCAGACCCTCTGCCGAGGCAAAGGGTGAAAGCAATTATTCCACTGGGACCCGGGAACCGGTAGAAACCACCGAAGGACATAATCTTGGTCGATGGTGCTCGCATGCTTGACCGATAGTCGCGTGGGCCGCGAAACAATCCTAATTGCGGCCAGGCGTTTTTCAACGTGGGCTCGGGGTCGATCGATCGATACCTTTGAAATCTCTCTTTCCCGCCCCGTCGGAAGATACTTGGGCAGGTCCTGGCTCGGTGCACGCGTTTCAAGCATACGGCCGGCAATTGGCTCGCGCGGCAATTGCCGGCCAAGAACAAAAGAGCCACGTCGGAGTTCGTTATGACAGTTCGTTAGCTCGGCAAATTGCCGGGCCGTCGTTAATGGGCGGTTGCCAATTATCGAACCGATTACTCCGCTGAATTATCCGGCATTCGTTCATTAGTTAACTGCAATTTTCTGTCGTGGCACGCGAGCACGCGCGACCGTAAACCGTTGATAGTCACCGCGGCGCTGTCCGCTCGGCGAGCTTATCCGTTCGCGCAAAATTACCGCGAGTTCCACGGGTCCGACGGTCGTTATGAAACTGTTGCTCCACAATCGGAACCTGAAACGTTAATTGCTGTCGCGGAAAACGCATGGGACGTGGTGTCGATAAAGTTAACCATTCCAAGACGTCAGCCTTGCTCGCGAATGCCCTGGTATGGTACGAGACGATCGCGACGTGGACGTATTCTGCTGTATGAGTTGCCAAGCGAAGCGAAATTTTAATGGGTGACTATTGTCACCGGTAGTACACTGCGGGTGACAGATGTTGAGTAGCTATAGTCACCTATATTATCGGTTGAATGTTGGGTGACTATAGTCACCGATAGTACACTATGAGCGTCGGACATTGGGTGACTATAAACACCGACAGTACACTGCGAGTTACTGAAATTCGGTGACTATAATGATCGATAGTACACCGTAGGTTTCACGCGTTGAGTGACTATAAGCACCGACAGTACACCGTGAGCTTCGAATATTGAGTGATTATAGTCACCAATACTACACCGTGAACGTCAAATATTGGGTCATTATAAACACCGGCAGTACACCGCGAATTATCGACAATGGGTGCCTATATAGTGATCGATAGTACACCACAGGTTTCACGCGTTGAGTGACTATAATCACCGACACCACGCCATGAGCATCGAATATCGAGTGACTATAGTCACCGATACTACGTCGCGAGCGTCAAATATCGAGTGACTATAAACACCGGCAGTACACCGCGAGTTACCGACATTGGGCGGCTATAATGATCGATAGTACACCGCAAGTTTCACGCGCTGAGTGACTATAAGCACCGATAGTACACCGTCGAATGTAGGCTGTCATGGACACCGCTGGTACACCACGAGCATCGGATAATCGGTTAACTATGACCACCGATAGCACACAGCGAACGTCAGACATTGCGTAATTATAGTCACCGTTAGCATCGAAAGGGTTTACGGGCCGGAAGGAGTTTCGAGGCTTACCAAGTCGATAAAGCGAACGTAAGTCGATGGTATTACGATTGGTAATCTGATTTGCTCGCTCACTGTTCAAGCTTATTGGTTAATTAAGGACGTAGCGGAATGACGCGTAGGAGGTTGCAATTAAACCATCTGGGTGGTCCATGGATTTCTCGGGACTAATCTGATTGTCCAACCGGACGCGAATGTTTTACGAGGCCGGTCAGGTTAGGTTAGGTTAGTTACGTGTTTGCACCTGTTGTAGTAAAATTAAATAGTGAAGTAAACACTACGTCCTAGCGATGTTGGGGTGATCCCTTCCCCTGCGTTTTGTCCTTTGTTTCTAGTCTTCCAAAGACGACTTGTGACCTGCGTGACCCTAAACAGGCCAGTTCTAACCGTTCGCCTGTTCAATAAAGATCTATACAGTTTTTCCACAGTTTCCACTGACTACTATTCCTCTGCGTCGTAACCCCTTTAACAGCACCCCCGCCCTCGAACCCTTCACCCTTCCCTGTGTCTCTAACGTACGATAGTCGCTTAATATGTCATACACACTCGGAGAAAATTCCGTCCTCGCGTAAAACACCTCGAATACGACCGGTTTCCAACCCCAAGCAGAACGGTCGCCATTCACCCCCCGTTCTTTCGATCTATCGCCGATACGCATAGAAATTTTCCGCTTGATCGCGCAGGCCGGCACACGCGTTATCGATAAATTTCGAAAGCCTCGTGGCATTCTTCGCGAAACACCTCGGAAAATCCTGATCGGCGAAGTTCATCGGTTTATTTCGACGATAAAGTCGTTTTATCGGACGTCGGGTCGAATAAAAAGCAGGCGTGCCTGAATAAAAATTCTGATATTCCATCGGCGTTCGCGTAGGTGAACGGTTCGATGGAGCTGGTTCGAACGTTATTAAAAATCGAGGAAAACGTTGTACGACAGAGTGAGAGAGAGGGGGGCACAGAGGGAAAAGAAGGAGGGCGAAACAAAGAACAAGCAGGGAAACACGGTGGAACGGGGATGAAAACGGGGGACGGGGAGAAAGGAATACCGCGGCAAAAATGTAAAGGTACATTATACGTGTAATTGCTTTATTATTCTCGAAACGTTTCAGATGCCGCGTAAATGGGATTTCGATAAAAGTGTCCCTGTTTTATCGTTTAACAATAACGACTCGAGTCTGGCTCGTTGCGCCGCTTCTTTCCATCGATATTCCATTTTTTTTCACTTCTCTTTTTCCTTTCTTGCCTTTCTCTTTTCCGCGTCGTATTTATTACCCCCCGTGCTTGTTTTAAATAACCGATAGCAGGCATCGGGGCGGATTGAAATTGTCGTAACGAGCATCGGTCGGAGGGTTGTACCCCGAATCGACAGGCGCGTCTAAATATTCGCGGCGAACGCTGCGGACGCCCACAAGGGGCGAAACGGGGCGGCGGGGGGTGGAGAGGGTGAAGCAAGCGCGGCCAAAGGGACGTTTATTCCGTTCCGAGGAACACGTTAACTCCGAGACGATCCTTGGTTTATCGCATAATCTCGCGGAGGGAATAAGAAGCGTCGGAAGAAGTTTGAGGCGAGGACTCCGCTCGAGGAAATCGCTCCTGATCCGCTGCAAACCGAACCTTCGGGGGGTCGTCGAGATGCGAATATCGCGTAAAAGCTTCGGGAATTTTTTCCTACCGATTCGCCCCGCAGACATACCGTGGAACGTTCCTATCGTGGTTGTTAAACGAATCCTTATTTCTGCGCCGGACTTGACGTAAAATTGCTGGAATTACTCGAATAACGCGAATGTCGTCGACGACCGGAAGAAGTGGAAATAATGGGCCGGCGGCTTTGGACTCTGCGAATCGTTTTCGAATTTCCCGGGCTCCCGGTTCTGCTCCCGATTATTCGCGACGATGAATTCCAGGGGGCATAATTAGTGGAAGATCGTAAATGATTTATGCAAAATTAATTACCGTGAGTCTGGTTGAACATTGGACTGGAATAATTTAAGACCCAACGCTTGAATTAATTAAGGTTATTGCATTCTTGCTTCAGTCATTGAAGATATGTGGCTGCTCTTGAATATATACTTATTCGATGAATAAATTAATTGTAATAGTAAAACCCTTTGACTGTCTCGTCGAAATCACGTGTTTCGCTTAGGTCGTCATGGGAGTATTTTTATTATTCAAAGCATATGATAGAAAAATAATTATAAATTAGTATGAAGCGTTTATTTTATTGGCAGTCACGGGTAACCACCTTGGTAACCGTTGACAGTCAACTAACTGTCAATTTTCATTCCATTTCTACAATTGTAAGTAGTTCAAGCACTCCGATCACCAATGACCACCATGGCGTCACAGGAGATACCATGGCCAGTCATATATGACCATCGTGGCAGTCAAAGTGTCAAAGTGTCTCGCATATATTTGCGATAATGTTTTATTTGAATGACAGTCTTCCTGAAATCTCTGTTTATTTTATTTCCTACATTTTCTATATTAAGGAGAGAATGACAATGTGTGTGTAATATTTTCTATTTTTCTATAAGGAGGGAATGATAATGTGTGTCTAATCAAAACTCTTCTATCATACTTAACACTAGATTTACGTAACCCTTCAATTTGACGGAAGGGTTGCTCCAATTATACGATGGTAACAAATTTAGTTAACTTATATTAAGACTGGTAATATAATATATAATTGTTTTTAAATTAAACCAATCGTTACGAAAAAAAGGCTCGTGGTTTCCTTTACCTGCCACTTTGACAGATGTCCTTAGAAATAGGTATACAGATAGCGTCCATAAACCTAGTGTTAAAAAGTCTAAATGGTGTTTCAAAAATGCGAGTTGAGTGTATCGTATCCAGGTTGCATTTAACACCTGGGGACCAGCGTTAGGCTCTACGTTCAGGCCTCGTCGGTCCGGAAGGGCCCACATGACAGCTGACTGTGACGTGAAAAGAACGGCACGTAAAACCGGCGTGACGTTTAACGCGTTAAACAGAACTCTTTTGCCGTATATAAGCGTGTATACCAAAATATAAGTTGGTATCTTATTGTTTCGCGTACCGTCTTTCAACCGTGACAATTCTCGAATCTCGGAGACAAAGATCCGAGCAATAAATACCGCTCTATTAATCGCACTCCTCGATCCATCTTTCTAGCCAAGAATTTCCTTTCCACGGAATTTAGTACCCCAGTGATCGGGGGTCTAAATCCTGAAGCCCGGGTAGCCACGAGACAATAGACCAGTCGCGAGCACCGATATACTGCCTCTGGACTAATAATGTGTAATAAATATACACCGGGTAGCTGGGATGAAATGAACGGAAGTAACGGGCTATTTCACCGACACGGATTAACGTTAAACGAATTATGATTGCAGGTACAAACTGGAAGTGGCTGGCAAGTCCCTGCCAGTATTGACGAACCTGGACAAAGGCCGATACGGGGTTCTGATCTTCGAGAACCTGAACAAGTACCTGCAGATGGACAAGTGGAATCGCGAACTGCTGGACAAATATTGCAGAGAGTACTCGGTCGGCATCGTGGGATTCGCGCCGTCCGGCGAGGAAAGTCTGGTCGGCGCGCAGCTGAAAGGCTTTCCTCTGTTCGTGCACACTAATCTCAGGCTGAAGGTCGGTTGAGAAAGAAATCAGATATCGTGAAACGTGACTGGAATCGCAAAATTAGTATCGCTCGCAATTGCATTACCATTATGAACTTAACCCCGGAGTATAGCGTTGCATCTACCTACTCCACTTGCTC